GAGGGAAGAGAGAGGAGAGGCGAGTAGAGAGAGACGAGAACACGTGCGCGCGGCGAGCGAGCGGCAAGCGAGAGCGGGATGAGAAGAGAGAGTATGACGAGATGAGAGCGATAGGAGAGATGGAGAACACGTGCCGGCGGCGCGAGAGCGAGCGAAGCGAAGGGGTGTGAGAGAGGAGTGGGACTGGGTCAGTGGCTGTGCAGTAGACAGACTGCAGCCACATGTGCTGTGCATGTTAAGCACGCTCGCCTCCGTTGAATGACAGCCGCAGCCATGCGGCCGTGTTTGAGTGACGTCATGACAGACCAGCTAGCAGAGGGCGGGCTGGCGCCGCCTCGTCCACCGCGGCTGCCAACATCGCCGAACGGGCCGCGTGCCTCTCCAGCGAGCCGCCGCCAGAGGTCAGCTGCCTCCCGGTCCGTTCAAACAGACACAGAGCAGCCGTCCCTCTTCCCTCCATTATCAGAAGTGAACTCACGGAGTCATCCGATCCGTCCTACCAACGTACAAAGCTGTCTTTTTACCCACCAACAAGGGTGGCTTCATGGGGTCGCCCATTTCATCCTAAAGAGGCACAGCCTCGCTTGCCCATGCACTGTCCGAGCCTGACTTCATGGGGTTACCCGGTCTGTCCTAGCGGGCCACGATGCCGTCGTCTCCTGCTATTGAAGGCCATTGCACGGGGTCGCTCAGCCCGCCATCGCGGGGCGCAGTGCCGTCGTTCTCCAGTCACCGGAGGTCACCTCGAGGGTCATCCATCCTGTCCGTCGGACACCCGGTGACCTCTTCGCTCCGACGGCGCGGATAGCCGACACCCGGCTCTACTCTCGCTCGTCCGCCGAGGACGAGCGGGCGGGCGGCTGCAGGCGCGGGAGGCCGTCGCTGCAGACGCGGCAGAGGTCGCGGGCCGGTCCGGAAGGCGACAATCAACGGCGACAGGCGCCGTCCCGCTTGCAGCGCCGCGACAATGAGGCCGAGCCGGCCCTGCAGCCTTGCAACAATGCGGTCGAGCGGTGCGGACGTCACCGCCGCGTCACGTCACCGCCGCGGACGTCACCGCAGCGTCACGTCACCGCCGCGGGCGCCACCGCTGCGTCACGTCACTGACGCGGACGTCACCGCCGCGTCACGTCACCGCCGCATCACGTCACTGACGCGTCACGTCAATGCCACGTCACGTCACTGCCGCGGACGTCACTGCCGCGGACGTCACCGTAGCGTCACGTCACCGCCGCATCACGTCACTGACGCGTCACGTCACTGCCGCGGACGTCACTGCCGCGGACGTCACCGCCTAGTCACGTCACCGCCGCGTCACGTCACCGTCGAGTCACGTCACTGCTGCGGAAGTCACCGCCGCGTCACGTCACTGCTGCGGAAGTCACCGCCGCGTCACGTCACCGCCGCGTTACGTCACCGCCGCGGTCCAGCTGGGCCGCGTGTGACGGCAGCGGTGTGGCGTGAGTTCGGAGAGGGATGAGTCACCCCCTCCCCGTCGCGGCGGGGGCGGAGGGCGGGGGCGGAGGGCAGCCTCCGGCCGACGCGGCGTGCGCCGCCCAGCCGCCGAGCAGCGAGCCGTGAACGCGCCGATGCGGGGGATGCACGCGACGTCAGCTGCTGGCGTGTGTGGTGGCGCTGCTACGTCACGGTGCTGGCGCCCTCGTGCCGTGTTTTGGATGTTTGCGGCGACCGTGGATGGTCAGCAGTCGACTGGTCGACAGACAGGCCGACAGCGTTGTGTAGTGAGGCTGCAGTTCGATTTGGTCGGACAAATGGCAAACGAGCTACCGCCCATCGAATGATTAGCTCGGGATGGAAAGGCGATGAGACGTGAACACTTAAGAGTCAAACAAGCTACTATCAGCTGCGGGTGACTTACCTCGGCGAAGGTCAAGGCAAAAGGTCACTCTCGAATACCGCCGCCACTCCCGGTCAACAGAAACAAAGCGATCACTCAGGTGAAGTCAAGACAAGGCAAACAACTGGCGGCCGACCGTGTAAACAAGGTGTCGGCCCGTAGCCCGGGGTATCTCTTGTGCTCGGCTCCGCCGATCCCAGAATCCGCCCACCACTTACCCTGTCAGATCCACGGGTCTCTGAAGTCTCAGGTAATCAGTTTATTCAACGAATCAGCAAAATATTCCAGTACCCACGGAATTAGGTCTTTCTCCCGGATGATCAATTTACGCGAAAACGCTACAAGCTGGATGTAGGAATACACGATTTACCCGTTTTATCTTCCGTGTGTTCGTTTTGTGTGGTACCGGGAGATATAAGTAAAACAAACACACTGTTAACATCTAGATATTCAGAAATGATACACCGTTGCCCAGTCAGCGACACGTGAGCGATGATATACCAAAGAGCCCCTCAATGAGATTGGGCCAATACGAGTATGCGGCATCACCCAGGCGTATGCGCGCGTATCAGCGGGGTGTGTGCGTGCGCATCACCCATTCGTGCGCGTATGTAGCATCCGGGTGTGTGCGTGCGCCTCCCCGGGTGTGTGCGTGCGATGGGGATGACAATTGCGGATAAGCCCTGCGAAGGCCGTTGGCAGCGGGTGAACCGCATCGATACGATGGCATTCGATAGAAGCTATCTTGCCGATAAACTCCGTGTAAGCACGGGGCGCAGTCATAAATCGGATGCACTTTGGCACTAGGTGCTGCTGGCTCGACCTGAGACAAATCAGGACCGAGCGAGGCAGCGTGCTCCGCTGGTAGGATGCATGGCAAAGTGGCTATGCTACCTTCGAGCTTACTATTGGGGCCGCGGTCGCGTGCTGGCTGTGGATGCGGAAAAAACGTTTTACTGTGACCTACAGGGGTCACGCGCCTGGGTGTGGATTGCATGCTGAAAGGAATGTTACCAAAACACGGTTGCCTAAGCGCAGTCGTATTGAGCAAATGTTGTCACTCGTGTGGAACTGGAGGAATTTCTTCGGCACCGCCCGGGGTGTGGGAAATTCTTCCAAAGCGTCCTTGTGAGCCCTCTCAGAGCCATGCGTTTCAGGGGGCCTGCAGCGTACCCTTCACGGCCAATCACCGTCCAAGAGTCGTGACCTCGTTACCGGAGCGACGGCTTCAATGGTACGCATCAGCAGCTAGCCGCCTACCGGCCGCCACTCCCACCCACAGCGCTGCCTGCGTCACCAGCACAGTCGGCTGTGTAGGGCCGCACCCCGGGACCCGGATAATCACACGGCACTCCCGTGGCGGAGACAGACTCGCCAGGCGGGGCCGCCGGCGCACTAGAAAGCCTCGTCTCACTCGTGTTGCATGCGGCTCCAGAAAGCGTCTGATGCGCTTGCACCATGTCGCGGACGGATAGCCCGACCCAGAGCCGGCTCCGCCAGCGCTGTGAAGCTTCTCCACCGGGCGGGATCGCTCTGCAGACAGCGCGCATTTGCAGTCGGGTGGGTGCGCCCGCGCGGACTGCGGGCGCCTCGGTGACCCGCCCTTCCACAACAACAGCGCGCGCTGACCGCGACGGCGACCGCGGGAAACGGGCCGGATCTCCGGCACAGCGAATACATCAGCTCGGCCGATTGAAAAACGAGGCGTTTGCCCGCCCGTGACTCGGCGAGACGTAAACAGGCGGCGCGCCGACCACAAGGTGGGCGGAGACGGGTCGAGGCGGGGTGAAGGCGGGCCGGAGCGGAGAACGCTATGCGAGACCGAGGTTGCGTGTCACGCGTGTACTAGTGCACTGGGAGCAATTGGGCTGCTAAGATTTGGGAGTTTGAATGCCATTAGATGAAACTTAAGTGCATGCTCGATAAAACAACAGCTTTACACCAATGGGCCAGTCCAATTCCACGAATTACCTTATCTTATTGTACGGTTGTTGTGGGCTTAATTGCACCTTACAAGGAGCGCTCTATGTTTGCGTCTATGTTTGAGCCTGTCCGCGGACTACAGATCCAGTGCCCGAGGCCATCACGAGCAGTCGTGATGTACCCGAGGCCATCACGAGCAGTCGTGAAACCTGCCACGGACCGTGTGGCGGCCCGGTGCCCGGAGCATCACCGGGCTTGGACGAACCGACCGGCGCGGATGACTGTTGAGGCCGCTCGGTATTGTTGTGGCTGGGTTCGACTGCGTCCTGGGCATGCTTTGGACAGACGTCACATCACTGGGCGGTCCGACATGCTCTTCCACTTCGAGGTGGCTGCTGGTAAATGGTCTGTCTTTCATGTTGTGTTTTCTGCGTGTCCGTCTCCGACGCTGCTGAGACGTGCTCGCAAACGTCTTCAGCGGGAGTGAATATATCTCCTGGTCTGATTATACGGCCATATCCGGCATATTCGCACATGTTTTACCTGTTCGGTCGGCCAGCACTTTATGTGCTGGGATACGATATGGGTCCTTGATACTCTGGAGCACGTACACGACGATGTTTGGCGTTGGCGAGCGCCCAGCTAAGCGGCATAAAACTCCGAATCGGGATGTGGCCGAGCAGGCTGTAACCAGAGCCCAGATTTGGGGGGCCGATGGGAAAGCTAAAAATTGTTGTTCGTAACACCACCGTCCACCGTGGAACGCACACCACCCGACCGCGTGGGGAGGGAGGGGAAGATGCGGAGCTCGGTTTTGGAACGGGACTGCAAGCCTGGGAGAGAAAGCGGAGCAGTACCGAGATAGCACCCGGACATTTTGCTCCTTATGCATGCTTTGATTATGAGGTATGGAAAAGTCATATTTTACGGCACTGAATCACAATGCAGCAAAATCGTGATCCTGCTCGCCTCTGATTGGTCAGACCTGTCTTCTCCACTTGTGTTGTGCCAAGGTGGATAATTGTCATCTTGGGCATTCTGCAGCGATTATGCCATTGGGGATGCATTGCACCTTTGTCTTTCGCCGTCTCCTCTGAGCATGGCATCTGAAGTCAGGGTGCGATCGGAGCAAGATGAGGCCAGGAACACTTGGCACCACCTGCTTAAAATACCTTCCTCTGTATGATACAAGTGGCATGGACCCTGCAAAACGATAGCATCACAAATACCACGAGCAGTCGGCGCCAGCAGCTCGTGCCAACCACATCTCTCTTCCCCATGCACACTCGACCTGTTATCAGTCGGCTAGACCCCGAGATCCACGAGCCCACATTTTTAGCGCGACGTTATCGCGTGTTTCGCCCACTCGCCACATCGACAGCGGAAAGCTGATAGCGCCGCCGGTGACATACCGGCGCCATGGCGCGGCGGTCGGCCCGCAGGCGAACACTGACCTGGGCATGCCGCCGTCCTTGCTGCTGAAGGCGCTGTGGGAGGCCTGGATGGCGATCCTGCCGCTGATGCGCATGCCCGGCGGCTGGATCAGCGGTCCCATGTCGAAGAAGCGCCAGAGCGGCCCGCTGACCGCCCCGCCGCTGGGGCAGAGCTGGCCCCCTCCACCATCGCCGACGGCAGTCTGCCGCATGCCGAGCTGCGCCCGCACCTTGAAGTCCTCCCCCGAGAGGGACACCTGCTTGGCCGGTCCGCCGTCGTCCGCCTGCTCGAACAGCGCGCGCCGGGTGGCGGCCGAGGCGCTGACCTCCTGGCTGACCTCGGCGGTGCCATCCGCGCGCGTGCCGGCCGTGCGCCGCTGAGAGAGCTCCGCGCGCCGCGCGTCCACGCGCGTGCGACCGCTCTTCTGCGTGACGGTGGCAGCCTCGACCTTCTGCTGGCTGTGCTGCTGCACGCTGGCGACGCCGTCGCGCGAGCTCTGGTCCAGCTTCTGCTGCCGGCTGACGCGCGTCACGCTCGTCTCGCCGGCGCCGCCGCCGCCGCGCGACGTTATCGTCGTGCTGCACGTCGACGTCTGGAAAGTCTGCTGCACGCTGGAGGAGGAGAGCGTCGCGGCCAGGCCGCCGCCGCGCCGCGCGGCGAGCGAGCCCAGCCCGTTGGGCGACAGCGCGCCCGAGCCGCCCCCCAAGCGGGTCATCAGCGCGCTGTCCAGCGCCCCGTCGTCGGACGCCCCGGCCGGGCGCGAGCTCAGCAGACTCGAGCCGCCATTCAGCAGGGAGAGACGGCCGTCGAGGAGTGAAGGACGATCGCCGAACGCCGACGGGGAGGCCTTGAGCGAGGGCGGCCGCGCGCTGGGCGGAGGTGCCTGGTCCTTGAGCGCCGCTGGGCGCGCCTTGGCAAATGCAAATGCGCCGTCAGCGAAGCCGGCGTCCAGGTGACCCGAGCCGAGCATCTGCCGGAATGGGTCGTCCTGGGAGAGCCGCATGCCACGCAGGCCGCCGTCTGCGAGCATGTTCTGGAAGCGCTGGCGGCTTTTGTTCACGAATTCTTCGAACTCGTCGTCGGAGTCGCTGCCGGTTCGTCGCCGGAACTCCTGGCGCAGGCGGTCGATCTCCGAGCCCGTCTGCTGCTGACTGGCCGCTGTCTTCGCGCGCGCCGGCAGGCTCGCCTCCACGGCGCGAGCCGGCAGACTGGTGCCCACACGGACCGCGCCGCCTCGCGGCTTCCCAGTCCGCCCACCACTCGGCTGAGACATGGTCCTGCCGGTGGTGCAGTTCAGGCTGGGCTCCCCAGCTCGCACGAGTCGACACTAGACTCACCGGCTTATCTGAGCGACAGCCGTCCGCTACAGCCCCCCCGACACGACTGTCCGCCTCTCCAGACCGACGCGTGACCTCTCCTCGATGCGGCCGCTCCTCGCCGGCTCCAGTCCGCGCTCTGGCGTGCAAAAACCAATGTCGCAGCCCACTTCCGCCGCCTCGGCGCTCCTCAGCCGGTCGGACCGGCCCGTTCGGCCCGCCCACTGCTGCCCACGCGCGCGTCACGGTCCCGCCGCGCTCCTCCGCGCGCGGCACGCTCTGACCGACTGGGGCGGCGTCCGACGGCACGCTGGGCTGGCCTCGGCCCCGGCGGCGGCGCGGCCGGGTAAACACGCCACCAACGACCGGCCGTCGACCGTAGCGACATCTCTCGGGAGACGTGGGCGGCGCGGTATGGCGGCTCCGCGATTCGGCAGCAAAACGACAGCTTCGCCTAAATGTGGGCACTGGGGCACTGGGGCACAGCGGTACTGTGACAGACGGGCAGGTCCCTGCAGGCATGGACACTAGTGCGCAGATGATCAGCGGTACAGCGACGGCGCAGCGGTACAGCGGCGGTACAACGGTACGGCGGTGGTACAGCGGTACGGAAAAACAGCGATGCAGCGTCACAACGCCGCATCACCACAGCAGTCAGCCACATCAGCAGAAATCCCGGCTACGCCATGCCGCTGACCGTTAATGTGGTCAATGCAGCCGCTGGCGCTCCATAAAAGGAGCGTGACGACGTGCGTCACGTTTTCTTAAAAACGTCTACACCCAGGCACAACAGAAAAGGAAGACAGCGGCACGGCGACAGAAGACAACGTGACGTAGTGCGTCAACTCACTGTGCCGCCGATCAACGGGCCATGGCAGTGTACATCGTCATGCCAATGTTCGCAAATCCCATTGGTCTCACCTTGAAATACTCTGAAACACTACAAACAGACGAGCGTCTCGATTTAATCACGGCATTTCATACTTGCGCAAGCCAATTAGTTGAGCTCTGCTGATGCAGATGTGGCACACTGGAGAGATAATCACACAACATCGATCTTAGCTCCCGCCAGACCGTTCGGCACACCAGCTGGGATGCAAGGGTATCCGGTGTGTCTTTAAAAGGTGGAGAAGCGGTATGTTTATGCAGCGCCCTCCGATGCGCGCTACTTTTTGGCGCTGCTGTGGCAAACATGTCACATAAAACCGTCTTAGATGCCAAAAATTAGTGAAGATATTTAAGCCAAGCCAAGCGCTTTAAATCACAACTGCACAAAGAGCATTCGCATGTGAGAGATTGCGGATAACTAGGCATTCTCGAGTCATACCTTGAGAATGTTCTGCACGCTGAGCGTGCTGTGCTTATGGCAGTGCTGTGCGTATGGTAGGCCAGGGTGGTCCGCCTATAGCAGTCAGGCCGGGATGGTCCGCCTATGGCAGTCAGGCCGGTATGGTCCGCCTATAGCAGTCAGGCCGGGGTGGTCCGCCCATGGCAGTCAGGCCAGGGTGGTCCGCCTATAGCAGTCAGGCCAGGGTGGTCCGCCTATGGCAGTCAGGCCACGGTGGTCCGCCTATGGCAGTCAGGCCAGGGTGGTCCGCCTATGGCAGTCAGGCCACGGTGGTCCGCCTATGGCAGTCAGGCCAGGGTGGTCCGCCTATAGCAGTCAGGCCAGGGTGGTCCGCCTATGGCAGTCAGGCCACGGTGGCCCGCCTATAGCAGTCAGGCCACGGTGGTCCGCCTATGGCAGTCAGGCCAGGGTGGTCCGCCCATGGCAGTCAGGCCAGGGTGGTCCGCCTATAGCAGTCAGGCCAGGGTGGTCCGCCTATAGCAGTCAGGCCAGGGTGGTCCGCCTATGGCAGTCAGGCCACGGTGGCCCGCCTATGGCAGTCAGGCCAGGGTGGTCCGCCTATGGCAGTCAGGCCACGGTGGTCCGCCCATGGCAGTCAGGCCAGGGTGGTCCGCCTATGGCAGTCAGGCCACGGTGGTCCGCCCATGGCAGTCAGGCCAGGGTGGTCCGCCTATAGCAGTCAGGCCAAGGTGGTCCGCCTATGGCAGTCAGGCCAGGGTGGTCCGCCTGTGGCAGTCAGGCCGGGATGGTCCGCCTATGGCAGTCAGGCCACGGTGGTCCGCCTATGGCAGTCAGGCCGGGATGGTCCGCCTATGGCAGTCAGGCCAAGGTGGTCCGCCTGTGGCAGTCAGGCCGGGATGGTCCGCCTATGGCAGTCAGGCCACGGTGGTCCGCCTATGGCAGTCAGGCCGGGATGGTCCGCCTATGGCAGTCAGGCCAAGGTGGTCCGCCTGTGGCAGTCAGGCCGGGATGGTCCGCCTATGGCAGTCAGGCCAGGGTGGTCCGCCTATGGCAGTCAGGCCAGGGTGGTCCGCCTATAGCAGTCAGGCCAGGGTGGTCCGCCTAAGGGCAGTCAGGGTGGTCCGCCTATGGCAGTCAGGCCAAGGTGGTCCGCCTATGGCAGTCAGGCCAAGGTGGTCCGCCTATGGCAGTCAGGCCAGGGTGGTCCGCCTATGGCAGTCAGGCCAGGGTGGTCCGCCTATGGCAGTCAGGCCAGGGTGGTCCGCCTATGGCAGTCAGGCCAGGGTGGTCCGCCTATGGCAGTCAGGCCAAGGTGGTCCGCCTATGGCAGTCAGGCCGGGATGGTCCGCCTTCCCATGCACTGCGCAACAGACGTATAAAGCAAGGCCATCAGCCACCATCGCATCACAGAATCTTTGTAGCCCACCACCCGCCGCATGCCTGGGCCGACTGCGGCAAACGTGGCGCAGGTCGCAGCGGCCGCACGAACTCCAGTCGAGGCACGGGACAGCCGCCGCAGGCAGCGCCAATGGAGCTCGTGGGAAGGCATTAATGGGGTGCCTCGGCAAGCGGCCTCTTGGCACTCGGTGAGATGAGACAGCCGATGGAGAGCAGTCGCATGTGTGAGGGGATCCCCACGTGTCTCAGCATTCTCCACACGGTACCCAGACAGTGGTGTAACCATCAGTGAGTTCAATGCCGTCCGGGTCCTTGCCAATTTTGGCGGATTTGGTTGCTTTGAGCTAGTCCTTTGCTTCGAAGATGCCACCAGGTAAGAGGCTGGACACTAATTGCCACTGCCGTATTCGGAGGCAGGGGGTGGGGGGACATTCCGGCTGCGCCCCCAGACACTCAGAAAAGGGGCACCATGTCTTCTTTGCTCCCCGAAACCTTTCTGAAAAATGCCACAAATGGATTACACTGTTTTAAGCTGGAATTATCAGAAGTGCAAAATGAAACAGAAACGTCGTACATGTTTGGAAAAGCATCAGCTAGGTAGGCCTTGATCTGCATGCATGCATGCATGCATGCCAAACTTTGCATGGGAATTGGTTTTCAGGTTTGCATCTCATGCATGAGACAAGCAGGATGACAATACGACCTATCAACCATCGCTACACGTCACCAACAGGAGCGGCCTGAAAGCCTGAAGTGACGCACCGGGCGCCTGTGGAGGGGCAGATCAGATCAGGGGCAGATCAGATCAGGGGCAGATCAGATTCACGATCAGATCGCCCAGCACGAAAACGCCCGTTTGTGCGCTCCTGCACCCTAGGAGCAGCAATGTACCCGTCTCGGGGTTACGTGGTACACGGGTCGACACTTGGCCGCGAGCCATGGACACGGATGGAACAGAGCTGGCGGCAGTCTTGATGCACGACGCCCGGTGTGCCCCTACGCGGTCCTCGCGCCTGACGAGCGCCTGCGTCTGGAGCCGGCCCAGCGCACCGGTGATGTACAGCCATGATTCCGAGCACGCGGGATGACGCGGGTAATAAAGCTCAAGGACTTGTGCGCTCGGCTGAGTGGCTGCTGTGACGCACCAGCTCATACAGGTCAGCTGATCGGCAACAGCGGATCAGCTGATGCAGATGGGCAGTGCGATATATGGGGAGGCACGTGCTCGCGAGGATGATAAGGTAGCGCGTCGCAGAGGTGAAGTGGTGACGATACCCTCTTAGTGAGAAGGCGCGAACGATTCGGCGCACTGAATGAGGCTGAGTTCAAACGATCTTCTCACCACCTTACCGACGTATTTATCTCACGTCGGCCTCTTATCGACGATCACAAGCACAGGCCGGTGGTATATACAAACTTACGTGAGCTTGTATATGCAATCGGCCTTTGAAGTTTGTTTAATGATTTTTCGAGGCGGAGATATCAACGTCAAAGTTTGCGAGGACAACATGGAAACGCCATGGAAATATCGTGTTTTTTATCGAATATGTAATCAAACTTCTTTCATATCGCGGGCAAAGCTGATCTGTTTTGTTAACGTGGGTTTGATGCCCAAATGCATGCAGCAAAATTATATACGTATAGCCCAAATCCGGTATTGCCAACAGGTAGCAAATGTCCAGTCTTCCAATGATCTTTTCGTTTTCTTAAGTCTTTCTCATATTTTCTGGTAACGAAATTAAGTGTCTCAAACCTAAGGACTAGTAAAAATTCAGGGGAAAGTTGGGATATCAGGCATAATACCCTGCTCCAAAGTGAACGGCTGGGATAGAAGTACGTGAAAAAGATGTTTGTATGACAACTATCCCTTGGATAAAGTTCGCACGTCTTGAGTTCGTCAGGATGAAGTTCGTGTGATAAAAGCACGTGTGCAAAAGTTCGTGTGCCAATGCATCACGCAAGCACGCGAAGTTTGTATGCAAATGTTCGTCAGGGATAAGGCTAGTTTGGTAAAGTGCATGCGCCAAATATCGTATGCAGATGTGTAAGGCAAGTTCAAATGAAGATTCCTTCCCTTGGTGCCAGGGCCGGATGAATCGCCACTGCGGGGCCGCCACCTCCTGGGGGGGGGGGGGGGGGGGGGGGGTGGGGGGGGGGTAGGAGATGGCAGTGGACAGCGATCATTGCATCGGTCAGGATAAGCGGAACGACTAGCTCCAGTTCTCCATGACATGATATGGAAAATCTTTCGGCGGCCAGCAAACCAACCCGAATCAATGAAGTGCAAAATGCCCCTGGGATATAAGGGATCGGAGGTCATAAAAAGGAGAGCATGAAACTTATTATCCGCCGTAGATCACCCTCAGGACAAACGGTATGATTAGCTCCAGTTCTAGTCAAACCCCCGCCCTGATGACGCCTCTGTCGACGCCCCCGCCCAACGCCTCCTGGACGCGCCACTGACGCCAGCTGACGGCCGCGGCAGGAGCCAGCTCGCTTGCGGAATACGGTGGGAAGACGCGGCAGTGACTCCCGGTGTATGATCGCTCATTTAAAGTAATCCAGGG